GGAGACACCTGCTAAAGTCTTTCTTGTTTTATAACTGGCAGCAATTTAACCTGCCCCATGACAGGGCAGGATGTATTCTACTAAGCAGTAAAACTTGTAAGCAGTACTTTGGAAACCTTGGTGTTAATGTTTTGGAACCAAAACACAGTATAGGATTTCTCCAATAAAAACTGCTAATGCTGACACACAATCATTGGAACATTACATCATAAACCATATAACCTAGGAGCTAATTCAATGACTATTAGTTGTTTAAACTTGTCACTGAAACGTGTGCATCCAGGATGCAACAATCACAAAGTAATAAAAATCCTACTGTTTCTATCAACTTCCAAAAATAACACACATTATCACTTCCTGTATTGTTTTGGGGATGCTGGGAATGAGATACAAGATATGAAAGATTTTCAGTTAAATTCAAAATAATAAACATTCTAACTTCCCTTCTAATCCGAAAATTTCCACAAAAGTTCACATTCTCTGAAGTGGTGCCAAACAAAACTTCTGTTGATAACTTACTGCAGTACTTCAGAAACCTAAACACAGGATTCCCTGTCACTTTCTCAATATTAAGTTTACATGTAACAACAAATAAAATCACATTAGTCTTTTTAAATCTAATTCTGTAAAATTATTGCAGTGTGGGTTGTCTACACTTTGTTCTACTTTAAGTTTGGAAGTATTTTTACTTCAGTTTCTGATACTTTTAATGCTTTGAATTTACCACTCAGAACTAAAGCAAATAGCATATAAATACCATGTAAAATTGAGTGAAACAATTAAGACTCTCAAAATATAAGCACAATCTTACAGGATGCATAGCATTCACTCAGAACTATTACAAGATTATCTTTCCTGGGATTCTTGTAAATAAAAATAATCCACTCTAAAATGTTATTATTAGTATATTGGACCACATATCGAGACAGATAAATTTTATTTTTGAGGATGTAACTCAGTTTGCATGAGCATATGCCAACATTATCATCCTTCTAAGCTTCTCTCTCCTCCATTTTCTCTCCCTCCTTTAAGATCCAAAGTACTTGTGAACAGCAGTTGAATTCCATCTTGTATGAGGCTAAAGAAAGAAGGATCTCAAGTCTCAGTGTGCTGGTACTACCACAACACAAATGAATTGTTTAATTTTCCCTAGTTTTAACATGTGCTCCCATTCTATTTAACTAAATCAGCACACTGTAAACAAAGTTTGACACTGCCACGCCTTCTACCTTTGGCCTTTCTGAAGATCTTTTCTTCTCTCCCCCCTCCCTTTTTTTTTTTTTTCTTTCCTTGTTTTGTTGCGGTTGTTTCTTTGGAGGGGGTAAGGTAAGCATGCAGTGAAGGATGGGGAGATGAACAAAAAAGTGCTGAGGAGAGTTTACAACACATCTAGTCTATCACTTGTGACTTGCATACCTCTTCGATCTGTTTCCAAATGCTTTCACATTCATTCAAGAGTTCTTCCTTGGCATCTGCAGGACAAACTAAGTCATTGATGACTTCTGGTAAATATTCAGCCTATTAACAAGCAAACAGAACAGTTATCATGTAGAACTACAATAGTTATTAACAGGTTACTAAATCATACCTGCTACTTTAGGTCAAATATGTAACAGAGCAATCCCTCTGAATCCAAAGCTTTCAGTTAACCCCCCCATATTCCTAGACAGCACCCAATCATTCAGTAAAATCATCTAACTATATTACTACAGTAACATTTGAAGACACTAATAATGTTTTTTAAAATTGAATCACAAAGTCCTCAATTTTCAGAACTTCTTTGATTATCTGAAATGGTGTTTTTTATTTTCTGAAAACTTTAATAAAGAAACAAGACTCTCACACCTACAAAGCCATGCTTTTCTTCCACAGATCTGCAAAGTTCTTAAGCATCGTTAGTTCTGCTCTCTTTTCCAATGAATGTCCTAATCTATTTCTCCTTACGACAATTTGAATCCAGAATATTTTTGATTAAAGTGTCCTAGAGGTTACTAGAAAAATAAAAGAATGTGAAAGATATGCAGGCAGCCAAGGAAGAAGCGCACCAAGACAGTCAAGAGAAAAATCAACCCAAGTTAAATTAAAAAGTTTGAGAAACTGTTGGGTGAGATAGAGAACATACAAATTCAGAAATTTAATGCTAGTTAAATCTATAAAGCGATACATTAATGACAACAGCAATTAAGAGGGAAAAACAAGAAGGGCCAAAATGGCACTCAAAGGGAATTTTTTTTTTTTTAAAGTAAAAAACCAACAGGAATTTCCTAGATGTACAAGATAAAGGAAGCCTTTAAAAATACTTAAATGGATCACGAAGACCACCAAATACTTTGAGATTAAAAAGAGACATTAAAAAAGATAAAGATCTAAAGAAGAAATAAACATCTCTGCCTTCTTAATGATGCAGAAATTCCTAACTCAACCTTTTGTTCATTTTCAGAACAAAACTGCAGCATCAGAGAAAATTATGTTGAAAACCCAAATAATTTAGGAGGATTGAAATATTCATCTAGTACCTCCAAAGTTCAAGTATGCCATAGCAGAGGGGCTAAGAAAAAAAAATCAGAATGTCTCACTGAACACTGGAAGTATTCTAGAGACCTGAAAGGTAGCAATACTTCTACTAAGCCTTCCTGGCAAATTTGTTGCATCAATAATTAGAAACAGAACACTAGAAAATCTGGATTGCCATGATCTGATAAGGTCTAACGAGCACAGTTTTTGCAAAGGAAAATCATTATCTCCTCAAGAGTCTTGGAACGTCTCCGTAACATAATAGAGAACGAGTTCACATAATTTATTAAGACTTCTGAAATGCCTCCAGCAAAGTCCCCCACAGAGGCTAATAAAGAAACTAAGCAGTCTTGAGATGCAATGTACTTTTTTTTTTTTCTTCAGACCAAAAAGTGTCAAGGAGACAAACAAACAAAAAAAAGCCTGAACATATAGTTTTCATCACAGCAAAAAGGCTCAGAAGCAGAGCTATGTTGTGGTTTAACCCCAGTCAGCAACTAAGCACCACACAGCCCCTCGCTCACCCTCCCCCAGTGGGATGGGGCAGAGACTCAGAAAAAAGGTAAAACCCATGGGCTGAGATAAGGACAGTTTAGTACGACAGCAGAGGAAGAGAAAATAATAATAATAGAATATACACAACAAGTGATGCGCAATGTAATTGCTCACCAGCCACCGACCGACGCCCATCCCGTCCCTGAGCAGCAATTGCTGCCCCCCCGGCCAACTGCCCCCAGTTTATATACTGGGCATGACGCCATACGGTATGGCATAGCCCTTTGGCCAGTCTGGGTCAGCTGTGCTGGCTGTGCCCCCTCCCAGCTCCTTGTGCACCTGGGAGAGCGTGGGAAAGAAAGAAGAGAAAAGAAAAAAAAAAAAAAAGGGGGGGGGGGGGGTTGGAGAAGGGGCAGGAAAAAAAGAGAAGAAGATATAACCTTTGGAAATTTGAAAGGAGTCTTGGGGTAGAATAGAGAGTCCTATTCCTCTGCATCTCCCCACAATAATACAATCCATCAACACGAAAACATTATATGAAATAAATCTGAGTACATAGCCAAAAAAAACCCCAAAATGTTTAAATTATTATAATGATTTTATTATTGTTGACCTTCAAAATTTGCATGATTGATTTCACACGAAGTTTCAAAATGTAGATATTATGAGGAGATACTACAGGCCTCTGTAGTGCAAGCCAAACTATACTGTGCTGTTAATTACCTTATAAAGTGCACACATCGAAGTGTCACGTTAGATGTTTTTCCTTGTAGCTTGCAGTTTTCCCTATTTCTGTATCATGAAAGTAGGTTTCTATTTGTACACCATACCTGAAAACTGAAGACTTTTTTTTTTGCACGTCACTGATATTAATGCATTCCAGTTTCAACATGTTATTCCTTACCTCACTTTAGGACTACATAATTAGGTAAAAAAATACAGGCAGGGACCAGTGTGCATGGTAGGCTCTATGCCAGCCAAGCAAACAGGCAACCTTTATGGGAAATGTTTCATGTCAACAAATACAAAACGACCAACTACGGGAAGAAATTCAGAGATGAGAAAGGAAAG